GTTTACAGTGCAAATTAGTTTTTCATTCAAAAATTTGTACACAAATTGTTTTGTGACATTGGTTGCAAACTCCGCAATGTATCAGCACTCTTCCCCTTTCCCTTTCTACCCTGGGTTCTCTGTGTCTATTCATCCAGTTTTCCTGTCCCTTCAAATCTTCTCATCTTTTCTTTTAGGCAGATGTTGCTCATTTGGTCTCGTATACTTGATGGAACTAAGAAGCACATTCTTCACCTGTGTTATTGTTTGTTTTACAGGCCTGTCTAATCTTTGGCTGAAAGGTGGACTTCTGGAGTGGCTTCAGTTCTGAGTTAGCAGGGTGTCTGGGGGCCACAGTCTTGGGGTCATTCCTTTTTATTGTAGAACAGTATTCCATTGTATGGATGTACCACAGTTTGGTTATTCATTCCTCTATTGAAGGACATCTTGTTTGCTTCTAGTTTTTGAAATTATAAATAAAGATGCTATAAACATTTATGTGCAAGTTGTGTGAACATAACTTTTCAAAGCAGTTAGATAAACACCTACGATCATGATTGTTGAATAGTATAAGACTATGTTCAAATCGTTAAGAAACTTCCAAACTGTCTTCCAAAGTAGCTGTACCATTTTGTATTCCCATCGGCAAAGAGTCATAGTTCCTGTTAGTCCACATCCCCATCAATGTTTGGTATTGTTGATGTTTTGGATTTTAGCTTTTTCCTCAATCTTAAGAGGAAAATATCCAGCTTCTCACCATTAAGTATGTTAGCTCTTTTTTTTGTAGACATTCTTTACCAAGTGAGGAAGTTTACCACTATTCCTAGTTCGCTGAGAGCTTTTATCTTGGATTAATGTTAAATTTTTGTCAGATGCTTTTTCTACATCAAATGATATGATTGTATGATTTTTCTTCTTTAGCCTGATGATATGGTGGATTACACAGATTGATTTTCAAATATTGAACCAGCCTTGCTGTCTTAGTTATCTAGTGCTGCTATAACAGAAATACCACAAGTGGATGGTTTCAACAAAGAGAAGTTTATTTCTTTACAGTAAAGTAGGCTAAAAGTCCAAATTCAGGGTGTCAGCTCCAGAAGAAGGCTTTTTCTCTCTCCTGACCTTCTCATCAGTGTTCCCCCGGACTAGGAGCTTCTTGGCGCAGGGACCCCAGTCTAAAGGACGCGCTCTGCTCTTAGCACTGCTTTCTTGATGGTATGAGGTCCCCCATTCTCTGCTTGCTTTCCTTTCCTTTTATCTCTTGTAAGGTAAAAGGTGGTGCAGCCCACACCGTAAGGAAACTCCCTTTACATTGGATCAGGGATCTGGCCTAGGTAAGGGTGGTGTTACAATCCCACCCTGATCCTCTTTAACATAAAATTACAATCACAAAATGGAGGTCAACCATGCAATTCTGGGAATCAAGGCCCAGTCAAACTGATGCACACATTTTTTGGGGGACATAATTCAAACCATGACACTTGCATATGTAGAATAAATCCCACTTGACTGTGGTATGTAATAGGGGAACCTGAGTATAGGGTATATGGGAACTGTCACAATTTTTCTGCAAATCTAAAACTCTTCTGAAATTTAAAGTTTAATAAAAAAGCAATGCATCCTTTGCTTTATTTTATTATTCCTTTTGTCTTAAAGCAGATTTCTTTCTCCCAAGACAAAGACATGGTTTATATTTTTCATTACTGGCTCAGATGTTAAGCCCAGGGATCATCCATCATCCCTTAAACAGGAACTCTCTAAATAAGTAAAATTTCCTGTGAATGTATCAAGGAGATTCCCGAAGAGCCTATAACAGAGATTCAAGTTCGAAGAAACCAAGGACTGTAAGGTCTCCTTATACACCAAGAGGTAAGCCAAAGAAGGGACAATCTCTAACAATTATTTTCCTAGCAAATATTTCAAATTAATAACTATCATTCATGAACGCTCTTATAGAAAAACAAGGCCATGACATTGATTAGTATGAAGAAATTGGCACAGGCTTATGGAGGTCCATTTATTTATGTATATTCAATTTGACCATTGATCCAGAAATTCCACTGTGGGAAAATATCCTGCAGATATACTTGCATACTTGTAACACGTTGCAAGTTCAAGACAATTCATTGCAGCATTGTTTGTGATTAAAAAAAGATTGGAAACAACATAACTGTTCATAGTTGGGGACTGCTAAGAGTCCATCCATACAGTGAAATACTATGTAATGGCTCTCTTTATGTTTTTGTGGCAGGGACAGCTAGTTATCTACCTGATTTCGTTCCTCCCCTTCTTAACAACTGAACACTGATGTGCTCAGCTAAAGACTCAATTTCCCAGAGTTTCCCAGTCTCTGTTGCTGTTAGGGGAGGTCAATGAAATGTATGAATAATTTTCTTGCATAGTTTTTTCTGGAAAACTCTGTAAGTGTTCTGACTTAGCTGGAAGATGTCTCATTTTGCTTTTCCTTCTTTCTTCTTTTCTCTAATGGCTGGAGGGAGACCTGGTGGTGCAGTGGTTACAGTGCCCAGCTACTAACCTAAAGATCAACAGTTTGGACCCACCAGCTGCTCTATGGGAGAAAGATGTGGCAGCCTGCTTTAGTAAAGATTACAGTCTTAGAAACCATATGGAGTAGTTCTACTCTGTCCTGTAGGGTTGCTATGAGTTGGAATTGACTTGATGGCAGTGGGTTTGGTGTTTCTAATGGCTGGAACTCCAATAGCCAACTTGGACCATGTGGTTACCTTGAGGGTGAAAGTTATATGTTTCACATGGTAAAACAGAATGATAAAAAGAGCATCAGTCTCTTGCTACGATGAAACCACTGTATCAACTGTGGACTGCCTACCTTACAAACTTATTTTATATGTAATAAATATAAATATCTACCTCATTTAAGCCATTGTTATTATCGATCTCTGTTAATAGCATCCAAAAGCAAACCCTAACAGATTTGTTAGAGATACCTACCACCATGTTAGCTGACATTTGGAGACAAGTATAAAAATTGCATTTAAAAGAAAGTTACACTAATCACAACTTGGAAATAAAGAATTGGATAATCTTAAGATGGGAATTTTCAGGGGAAGGGAGAGAAGGTAAGTTACTTGCTATGTTTGGGGGAGTACATAGATATTGATGAACCTTAATGTATTCATCAAAATTTAAAGATAATTACTAAAAACATTGGTTTAAAATTTGAAAGTGTGTGCACCAGGGTTGTATCCATTCACCATACGTATTCAATCTGTATGCTGAGCAAACAATCTGAGAAGTTGGACTATATAAAGAAGAATGTGGCATCAAGATTGGAGGAAGACTCATTAACAACCTGCAATACGCAGATGACACAACCTTGCTTGCTGAAAGTGAAGAGGATCTGAAGCACTTACTGATGAGGATCAAAGTCTTCAGTGTAGATTACACCTCAGCATAAAGAAAACAAAAATCCCCACAACTGGACCAATAAGCAACATCATGATAAATGGAGAAAATATTGAAGTTGCCAAGGATTTCATTTTACTTGGATCAATAATCAATGCCCATGGAAGCAGCAGCCAAAAAGTCAAAGGATGTGTTGCATTGGGCAAACTTGCTGCAAAAGACCTCTTTAAAATCTTAAAAAGCAAAGATGTCACTTTGATTACTAAGGTATGTCTGACTCAAGCCATGGTATTTTAAATTGCCTCACATACATTTGGAAGCTGAACAATGAGAAAGGAGGACTGAAGAAGAATTGATGCATCTGAGTTACGGTGTTGGCAAAAGAATGTTGAATATGTCATGGACTGCCAGAAGAATGAACAAATCTGTCTTGAAAGTAGTACAGCCAGAATGTTCTTTAGTAGTGAGGATGGTGAAACTTCATCTCATGTACTTTGGACATATTTCAGGAGGCACCAGTCCCTGAAGAAGGATATCATACTTGTTAAAGCAGAGGGTCAGTAAAAAAAGAGGAGGACCCTCTACAAGATGGATTGACACAGTAGCTGCAACAATGGGCTCAAACATATCTACTCTTGTGAGGATGGTACAGAACTGAGCAACATTTCCTTCTGTTATCCATAAGAACCGACTAGAGGGCAGCTAACAACAACAACTCTAAAAACATAGTAGCAACTCTATGCGTGTTTCAGAGTGAATAACAATACAGATTTAAAAATTTTTATATGATATTTAATAGCCTCCCAGGCAATTCTTTATAGAACAGTACAAATATTTATATAGGTACAGTTTTAGATATAGATACATACATAGACATAGATATAAATCCCACTTTTTACGTAAGGGAAAAAAAGACAGGCTATAGGAAATCCAAACAATATAAAACATGAATAAATATAAAACATCAGGGTGAGGAATAACTATCCATCCCTCACTCTTGCCAGTTCCTAATACCGACCATTCACTCCATTCAGAGTAATTTATTCAATACATACCATGCTCCTTTTTACCTACAAAACTTAATGTGTTTTGAATGTTCTCTTCATTCCTACGTAAAACTCACCCATCATTCAAGAGGCAGATTAAGTGTTGTCTTTTCTCTGAAGCTTTCCTTGACCTCTTCAGCCATCACCAATCTCTTCTCCCTTTGACCTCACATTGCAGTTATGGTTTGAACATTTGATTTCATAGTAACTTTATTCTCTAGTGTTTTCCAAGCATGACAGTGTGATCGTCTACTCCTTCCCACTCTAGGAAGAGGAAAGACCTGGGGCAATCCTCTATTCTATTACCCACCCCTCCATTTATTCCCGTGTGTGTCTTCACTATGCATTCAAATGTTGGTATGTTTTTGTTTTAATTGTAAGGGACTTTATATATAAATATTTGTCCACATCAGTAATCTCTAAGAGAGCGCAAATGGATAATGACTGTGATTATGTCACTCCTAGAGTTTGTAGAACACTTAGGTTATGTCAATTTTATTTAGGTACTTAATAACAACTTTGTATTTATGATAATGAAATGGAAATGATAATCTCATTAGGATTTTCCTCCTGTTGAACTCTCCAGCCAGTTCAAATCACAAGGGAGAAGATTTTACTCTGGCTTAGGGCCTTCTTTAAAGCCCCTTTCAGCTCATTGTTTCTTAGACTATAAATGAAGGGATTTAGTACAGGGGCTACCACCATGAAAATCACTGATGCTGCTGAGTCTTTTTCAGTTGAGTGGTTGGATGAAGGACTCATATATATCCCTGTGATTGCTCCATAGAAAAGAATGACCAAGGCAATGTGGGATCCACAGGTGGAGAAAGCCTTGAGTTTTCCTTGGGCAGAAGGGACTTTCATCACAGCAGAGATGATGTGAGCATAGGAAGCAAGGATACACCCTGAAGGTACCACAAAGAGGAGTCCCACCACAGCCAGCACCATCAACTGATTAAGGCTGGTGTCAGAACAGGATAGAGAGAGGAGAGAGCTGCTATCACAGAAGAAATGGTGGATGACATTGTCAGAGCAGAACTGCAGACAGGCCATCATAAGGGTGTGCAAGAGGGGATTCAGAGTGGCAATGACCCAAGGAACAGCCACCAGGCAGGCACAACGATGCTGGGTCATAATGGTGGAGTAATGCAAAGGGTGACAGATGGCCACATAACGGTCATATGCCATCACTGTGAGAAGGAAATTGTCCATGTTTGCAAACATCATGGAGAAGTACATTTGAGCCAGACAGGCAGGATAGGAAATGGACTGAGCCTGTGTTTGGATGTTCAGCAGCACCTTGGGAACTGTAGTTGAAGAAAGACAGAGGTCTACCAAGGACAGATTGGCAAGGAAAAAATACATGGGTGTGTGCAGGTGATGGTCCGAGGCAATAGCCAGCAAGATGAGCAAGTTCCCCAACAGTCCTGTTAGGTAGAGACACAGGAAAAGTGAAAAGAGGAGTGCCTGATGTCCCGGCCAATTGGAGAAGACCAGGAGGAGAAATTCAGAGATACTGGTTTGGTTTCCTTTTTCCATTGCTTGAGTGTATCTGCATGAAAACCCAAAGGATGAAATACTTTTGCCAGAAAAAAATTTTCCCTTTATATTTTTTATATACTCACCTATTCTAGTTCCACTTATGAGATACACTCTCATTAGGGCATCCTACCTCTTCTGTGATGTTCTCTCCCAAGCCTTACTGAACCTCAAGTGTGTCCTTTTACCCCATCTATCCATCAGTTGTCTTTCCATATATCCTCCTTCTGGAACCTCACCTCATCTAAGATTTCCATGGGATGTGTGCATTTTGTCCTTCAGTATACAGAGATTCTCTTCCTACTTACGTAGTTGACAGCAACTTTGGCATATTCTGTATTGTGTGTGGTTTCCTGACTGTTAGCTGTGTGTTGGACTGTATCATGAGTCTGACACACTAACTGATTCCATGGCAAGCATTGATATTTAAATGAGAAAATTTGTCCAAATGTTTGTCCAACACCATATGAACCATCTTGTTTAGAATGGTCAGATACCTATCATATACAGTCCATAGAATGAGGATGTTTTTCTTGTTAGCTGCTGTATGCCAGGTACTATTCTATGCATACAATGGGACAGAAGGGAAGAAAGGAACGGAAGGAAGGTGTCCCCATGGCAACAGAATGAAATGGTGCCTGGTTCTAGGCCATTCCTGAGATCGGTTAGGGATTGGGCCATTGTGATCTATAGGGTACTCATTGCCTGAGTTTTGGAAGTAGATAATTAGGCCTTTCTTCCTAGTCCATCTTAGTCTGGAAGCTCTGCTGAAACCTGTTTAGTATCATTGCAATATGCAAGCTTCCGCTGACAGATGGGTGGTGGGTGCACTTAAAATAAACTGGATGTGAATTGAACTGAGGTCTTCTGCACGGGTGGGGAGAATTCTATCAATGAACCACAACTGTCTTCCCAAATGGGGATAAACTAGCCTATCTCTGAGACTTGAAAGAAAAATATATGAGTGTGCTTAACAAGTATAAAAAGTTTAACTTCTAAAAAAATTTACATGAAGACTATGAGCAACATAGGAAAATATTTACAAATAAGGTTAAAAAGCAGAAGACAAATAATAATAATAATGAATTATATGACACATGTATACATATGGAGCCCTGGTTACGCAGTGGTTAAGACCTCGGCTGCTAACCAAGAGGTTGGCAGTTTGAATTCACCAGCTGCTCCTTGGAAACCCAATGTGGCAGTTCTACTCTGTCTTATAGGGTTGCTATGAGTCGGAATTGACTCGATGGCAATGGGTTGGTTTGCTCTTATGTATTAATAAGACGGTCATCATCTTTCATCTAGATGATTATAGTAAGCTTCTAATCTATCTTCTATCCTATAGTCTTTCCCCTTTCAATCTTTATTTCATAATTCCAAAAGAATTATCCTTTTAAAGTAATAATTTCCCCACTTTCCTTCTTAAAACTTTCTAGTGAGTTTTAATTTCCGTCAACCCAAATTCCAATTTCCTTATCATGGCATGCAAAGTTCTTCATGAACCCCATCTTTCTAGCCTTATCTCTTGCTATGATCAATTTATCATCCCTAGAATTTTCTCCCACACTCTGAAATTTTATATCTACCTTGCTTTTCTTAGTTTGGAATTCTCTGACCATCATGTCTAAAGTGTCCCTGTAGACACTCTCTCATATTACCCTGTTTTTTTCTTTCTTCATATCACTCACCACCATGTGGAATGTTGTTGTTTCCTAAAAAAATTTCCTACTTATTAATTTTCTATCCTGCACCAGTAAAATGTAAGCTCCACAAGAGTAAGCAATTTCTTTCTTCTTTTCTTCCCACCCTTCCTCCTTCCTTCCATTCCTTTCTTCCCTTCTTTTCCATTGTATGTGTAGAATAGTACATGGCATACAGCACTATTACGTATGTGCATTTGTATATATATTGTTGAATAAAATTAATGAATGAAAGAAAGAAAGAAATAGATAAGTAAAGAAATTAAGAAAGAACATACTTATTAAAGGCTCAGGAAGCTTCTTTTGATATCGTCAGAAATATATGCCCTCAGTCTATAATTTATAGTGACTTGTTTGGTTTTCATAACTCTTGCTTGCTTGTAGAAATTTGGAGAGCATATAGACTGAATCTTATTCATCTTTGTGTAGAGAAGCCCAGCTTTATAAACAGTGATTTATATTTGCCTAAGAAGACAGAATGATTTTTTTTTTTTTTGGGAGAGGGGAATGAGCTGCATGTCAGAGAATACAACAACGTATACGACTCTATTATTGATTCTCTACTCAGCCCCATTGCCTTGTGTCTAAGCCAGACAGATGGAGAGCCTGGTGGCAGAAACTCAAGAAAATGGAGGGACTTTGTTGGACCATGTTTTCAGTGATTGAATAATAAAGTATGAAACTGAATGGAAGAGAGAGACATTCTACACACTTACAAGCAAATGGAGAAAGCCATTGGCACTTTGGACTCCAGAGAACACAGAGCTGCCTGGCATTAGCAGCTGAGGGAATCAATGTCCTGACATAGGCATCACTTTTCGTCACTTCTCTCAAAGCAGTCTCTGGCAGAAAAAAAAGAGAAGAGCAGCCTATATCAAAGAGAAGGAAAATGGAGGATCCTACCCATGAGAGAGTAGGCAGAGCACTCACACAAGACCTTCTTGGGAATTCCCAGAAATAATTAAGGTGACTTTCCACAGGCTGTAGGACTTGTTATATTAGGTAAATAACAGCCTGCTGCTAATAACCACTCTTGGGCCTGTTTAGGTTAGAGTTGTATGAATCACTTGGCAAAGCTCCTGCCACATAGTGAGCACTCAAAAAAATTAGAAGGAGTAGCGACAGTTGAAGGTGCTTTGAAGATACCTTGAATGCAAAACCATAAACATCAATGCATCAGAGTGGTGGCAGTGGTGATGGCAGTAGGTACAGACATTACCCCTCCCCTTCAATTTTCCAGAAGGTAAAATTTTTTCATTGTTGGAAACATGATAAAACCATCAGAAGTACATGAAATCAGCTGAGTAAAGTCTATAACTGTGTAAAAAAATGATGAATTTTTTCATCAAGATAGAAGAATATGAAGACAAGATTTACCACTATCCTCAGTACTGAAGTCACTCCTGAGGTTTGCCCTTCAGCCAAAGGTTAGACAGGCCCATAAAACAAAACAAGACTAAATGGACACAGCAGCACAGAGGCAAGGATGAGAAGGCAGGAGGGACAGGAAAGCTGGTAACGGGGAACTCAAGGTCGAGAAGGGGAGAGTGTTGCCATGTCGTGGAGTTGACAACAGATGTCACAAAACAATATGTGTATTGTTTAGTGAGAACCTAATTTGCTCTGTAAACATCTAAAGTACAATAAAAAAAAAAAAGATTTAACACTATCAAGTAATCTCCATCACACTAAATATTTTCATAGTTTGTTACAAGAACTCTGTTATATAGGTCACATATCCCCATTATATAGACACTGAGCTGTAGCAGAGTCATGATCTCAATTAACATTTCTTGATTTGAAATTTAGCCCTCATTTCAATAAGTCATCAGAGTATCTATGATTTCAAACTTTTATCTCCCATTAATTAATTTATTATTAATTAATACCACAAATGGTTACTAGGCACCTACTATATATTAAGGCAATGCCTGGTGACCTTGTGTGGGGCTTACACTTGCCTTGCTTGTTTAAGTAAAGACAGGCTTTCTCCTTGTTTCTCCAAACCTATTCACTTTCCGAAAGCACTTGCCAGGTTTTCTTATCAGGAACCTTCTGGGCAGAGACTTTTGCTTCCAAGTCTTACTCAGAGCTAGTGGAAAAAATAAATGTAAGAATTCTGTCTTTCAGAATGTACAGGAATAAGGATAGGTTGATTCTTGGGAAGGGTATATCTGGTGCAGTGAAAACTTGAGTAACCACAGGATTCCCTCACATTGAAATTTATAGCTCTTTTGTGGCCCCTGGGAGCCCTATCTTAACAATTTTCTTCAACTCCAGCAATAATTATTTCATCCCTCTTGTGGTTTTCCCAACTGCAACCCTAGGGATAAAGCACCAAGTAGAAAATGTCCCAGGAAGATTAAAGGAATTAAACGATCTGGAAGTTTTTCATCCAGGAAGTTTTGTTACATATGTCTTTCCCACTCTCCCCAACCCCAAAAGCCTCTCAAACAATTAAAAAAAAAAAAAAATCAGTAACAAATAACCTTTTCAGGAATTGTTTATTTCTTCCTTAGCAGAATTCATCCATTATCCAAATATGGGTTTATCTTCTCTGCCTGTAGCACTCTGCATGCAATACCATGCTAGGGCTTAGAAATACCTGCTCTATCAACAGTGCCTCAGATCCAGGACCCATTTTGTGGCAAAGGAGATGAGGTAATGGGCATATAATCACAGAAATCACTGGAATTACCATACACTCCATCACCTAGAAGCACCCAGCCCACTACAGCAGTGGAATGACCTCTCAAAGACTAACAAGCTAATGTACCAGCTTAGGGCTAACTCTCAGAGTATTTGGGATGCTATACTCCCAGATGCTGTATGTGCATAAAGCAAATGGCTAATATATAGTAACCCTAATTACTATATATGATGCTTTGCTCCCAACTGCTATAATGCATGTGTCCAAGAGCCAAAGGTGTGTTTTAGTTCTTTTTTTTTCCTGTGTAAAAAAACCACCCCAAACTTAGTTGCTTAAGACATCAACTATTGGGGGTGGGGCCAAGATGGTGGAGTAGTCAGACGCTTCTGGTGGTCCATCTTACAACAAACACCCCAAAAACCAAGTGAATTGCTTATGTATCATAATCTAGGAGCCCTGAACATCAAAGGCAAAGTTGAGGAATCAGGCTGAGTGGCTGGGGGAGGGAGAGACACTCTGGGGCAGCGGCCAGTCCCCTGCCTTGCTCAGCATGTGACCACCTGCTGCAGCCAGATGCCTGTGCCTACACCAATCATCCATGCCTGTCTAGAACTGTAGGTGAGGGCCTGCACCCCACACTTGGTGGCCGAATACCTGAACATTTGAGTTGAATCCACACAA